TTACTGTATTTTAGTATAGTTGTGGCGGCTCCCACCGTCACAGACGATGATGCTCAATTTTGAGATATATGACATGTATTCACAATTAACGCAGAAGACCAAAAAATTGTCGTCAGCTTCAACCAAATGTCGCATACACTTTTCCATTTATGACCAGTGATTAGGGCCATCACATAAATGTTCGTCTTAAACCTTTTTACTTTCGGAAAACTTGTTTTATGTTCTTCCAGTCCCTCTCCTCATGACTGACCTGTTTTCGATGTCAAATGCAGTACATATGGTCATGAAATGCCCCGACTAGCCTGTTCTGTCAACCAACTTAATTTACTTTAGGGTAACTGACATGAGGCAAGGCTCCTTAACTGTTCGTACCTTTGCGCTTCATCTAGGCTATTCTTGGCTATCAACAGATCCAGAGCTCTTCCAGATTGGCCTAAACCGCATTTTACATCAATATTGCTTTAAGTGCAATATTTGAGACCTTCTCAGCATTCGATCATAATTCTCGCTTTATTTCTACACCCATCTTTTGCATCTTGCCTCCCATCTCAGGCGCTGGGAAGACGACTCTCATAAACTACATCCTCACCGCCGCACATGGAAAGCGAATAGCAGTCATTCTGAATGATTTTGGCGAGGGCTCGGCTGTTGAATCGACTGTTTCCCTCAGGGAACACACAGATGACCTCTTTGAGGAGTGGATTGAGTTGCGTAACGGCTGTCTGTGCTGTTCACTCAAGGATCCCGGCGTGAAAGCCATCGAAAATCTGATGCAGAAGCGTGGTCGTTTTGATTACATCATGCTGGAGACCACAGGCCTTGCTGACCCCGGTATGTGTAGAATTGACACGTCTCACTCCTGTTTTTCAGGCCCCATTGCTGCTCTCTTTTGGATGGACGAAAGCCTCTGTAGTAAAATTGCCCTCGATGGTGTAGTAACTCTGCTGGATGCAAAGTACTGTCTAGGTGTGTTGAATGCCCATGCGGACGAAGAAACAGTCAACGTCTGTGAGAGGTGCGTGCTTTTGTGTGCTTTCTGTGACAACCATCTTATGATAGGCAAATTGCCCTCGCTGATGTGCTGATTCTTAACAAAGTGGACCTCGTCGGAGAACCCGAAAAACGCGCAGTTCTCGATGCAATCAGGTGCCTTTTTTCTGTTGGCAGTCCAATTTCTGTGACTTGTCTTTGACTCGGTCACTTCTAACTTGCTCAAAATTGCTGGCATCAGGGAGCGCGTAATATTATTACCGCCTGGTCGTGGTACAACACCATTTCCAGGTAGATGCGAACTCGATCATTGAAATGTCCACGTCTTTTCGGTTACTACAGTCTTTTTTCGCATGGGATTTTCGTTTGCTTTTTTGAACTTTAAATAGACTAACATTCAATCATGGAAGTAGCTTTATCTTGAGTAAATTATCACTTTATATGCGGAATTGAGGTGTAAGCGACTGAATCATCGGCCGGGCATCCAATACCGTAAATGAGGGGAATGTGTTGGTGCAGGCAATTACTGTTTGTCCACATCCTGTATTGAGTCTGCATGGTTCGCTGCGGGGCTTTCCGCGGGCTGCCGGCCTGTGAGGTGTATTTGTGAAGTTGCACGGTTCTGTTGCT